GAAAATAAAATTAGTGTTCTGTGGAACTGCATTAAATAAAATAATAAAACCCAAAATTCTACATATAAATGTCTAAAAAAAATTTACACCTCAATGCAACTGTAATAAGAGTAATAAGTGAGCAATTGCAGCCCCCTGAATTTTTAAATAAAACAAACTAAACGCGAACTGACCATGAGTGTAAAAGTTAAACATAAACATACGATTAGGTATCAATACGTATTTATGATTTTTTAAGCAGCGGAGATGAACAAAGACAAATCATCGATCCGTTTGACCCTTAGAATTAAATTGAAAATAAGCAAAACCAAGCTCTAGCCAAGGGATGGGATGCCGCGGGACGCTACCCATCCCCCAGTATCTGTTCAGTTGACTTTTTCAACTTGTGTTATTAATTACGAAATATGTTAAAAATAGACTTCTTTCATAATTTAAAAACGCCTGTAAGTAAAACTGCTTGAGAAACTCAAAGACCATTCGTCTACAGAGGTTGTAATAAGATTACAAAAAGGCATAGGGACAAAAAAAAATTAATATTAATCCTTAGTTCCGTGTTCACTTAACTCTCGCAGGTTGCAAAGATTACTTTTGCAGTATCATCAAAAAAATCGAACTCCTGGTCAATATTTCAAGCCAAATAACTCAAAGCAAGACAATTACTATAAGCGCCTTGTAAAAACGGGATAAAGAGGATAGGAAGACTTGAACATTGTAGACGCAAATAACATTACTAATAGAACCAGAGATTCCCTAATTTCAAAAAAGCAACAGGAAAATGTAATTCGAAACTTAATAGGAAGTGCTAAAATTTGATAGAAATATGTTTTATCGAAAGGAATTTTAGCGTTTAAGATAATATTACAATCTTTTTACGAGATAAACTCAAAATGGTTGTAGAACGTTTGAATTCAATATCAAACATTCTCACAAACCTTTTAGAGAAAACAAATATTGCAAGTGAAAATACTGAAAAATTGAATCTGCTGCATCCACATATGATCACATGTGCCATGTTCTAAGCGCTTCTTATGCAGTTAGAGATATTTGATATATATGCTCTTCTATACAAGGCATCATGAAGTCAGCTGCTAAGTACAAATAGCTGTTTGGAAAGCTTTTCGTTTTTGTCAGCTACTACTTACAGAGAGCTTTTCGGTGGCTTCGAACGAAAAAAAGTTTAGTTTACTTAAAATAGTTAAAAATTCTACCAGGTCCGTCATTAAAGAGGAGAGACTTACTGCCCTAACGATGATAAAAAGCGAAAAATGCCTTTGCGATGCTCTAAATTGTATTAGGTACTTTTTTTATTAATATCAAAAATTTAAGTTTTTCGGGTTCTAACTCATTAACTTGAGGTAATCTGTAGTGGGATGAAATTGAATTGGTTTAACATTAATGTTTGATACTTGTTTTTTTTTATTAATAAATGCATATTTTTGGGCGTGTGTGTATAAAGCTAGTTGGAAAAATAAAGTACAGCATATTGTTATATTCGATTGCGCCCCCCCCCTCCTAACAAAAACAGAATATTTCGCTAGGAGGCTGAGGAAAATTATATTTCGAGTGTTTTCAATACCACTTAATACCTAACAAATGAGCAAGTGTTTTAGTTTGTCCACGAGTTGCAGCGGCATATACATACTGATAAATTATTTGTTGTCGCAAAATAAATTTCGTCCCTATTTTGAAAGACAATGTATTTTCACAGTTAAAGTATAGGGTTGTTCGGAAAGTCATTTCGTTTTTTTTTGTGGAAATGAAAGACAGTTTTCGTATAATAAACAAATACTTTATTAAATTATATATTGACCGTTCTGGTCCAACACCTTTTGCCATCTTTCTGGTAGTAGCACAATTCCACGCTCATAAAATTTTTGGTCTTTGCTGGCAAAAAACTGATCGAGGAGGTTTTCGACCGCTTCTATATATTTATTGGAGAGAACATTTACCTTCTACATATTGCTTTAGGTATTTAGTTATTCAAATAAAAAGAATATTAAACCACAATAAAGCAAAGCTTTACCAAAGAAAGTGGCAGTTTCCTTTAGTAATGCAATTATCATACGTATGTATTATTATATTTTAATCTTTAATAAAATGCACTGATTTTGTTTGTAAATTTTAAAGCCTCATACAGAAGTCATGTGATGTTACTTTCAGATAATGTAAAATATTAATTTTTCGGTTATCAGTAGTAAATTAACTAATTAAGAGATCACCTACCTTTACTGAGTATTCTAAGAGAGTATGTAACAACATTCTAATAATTCGCGTTTAGCACTTAAGATGTTATTTTTATTTTCTGTGTTTACCTGGACATAAACCGGCCGAATTTGCCACTGTAATTAACAAAAACCCATTAAATCGGTCGAATTTACAATCGCCGGTTCCAAATTGATACACGCCATGAGGATGAATGTTACGATTGTAATGTTTTAGCCTGAGTAGGAGTAATTGTAAATGCTTAAGGAAGTTATCCTTAAGGAGCACAACAGAAGAATTTTAGAAACTTTTGGATATATATATATGTAGGAGAATAGTAAAAATTTTCGTCAATTTGTTTAAGTAATAGGATGAATGTTATTATAAAACACCTGGCAAGAAAATTGCGAATTTAAGGAAATTTAATGGTTGTAGTGAACCTGTACGTTTTTCAATAATCTGCCCCAAGAAAGTCATTAGTAAAAGCAAATTAATCAATTAGAGTTAGTCATTTACAGCATTTAGCATAGTGTCTACGATAAAACCACTGCAATATTTCCTACTATGGTATAATAAATAGACTCGGTAATTTCTAAAGCTTTACAATTAGTGTTGCCCAAATTCAGTCTTGGTCTTGCAGTCTTAGTCTTGTTCTTGCGTTTTTGCAAGACCAAGACCAAGAACAAGACCGCGTATTTTTAGCAAGACCAAGACCAAGACTGACCGTGCAAGACTTGAGCAAGAACAAGACATAGCCTGCAAGACTCTTGCGTCTTGCAGCTAGGACTTAGCGCTATTTCACTGAGTAGTTAGGTGTAACAGTTCGGTGTATAGGTAGGTACGCTTAGGAATTCTATGAGACGCAAAAAACTGTATCAAAGAATATGAAAAACTGGACCTATGCGCATTACGACTAATACCATAAACATAGCGAATAAAAAAATTATTAAAATCAAACTGAGTGCATGCATAGTTATGTTTTAACCATCGGCACTTTGATAATGCGGCATCAAAGGTTTTGTACTTACTTCTCAAAGAAATTTGCCGCTTTTCGGAAGTACATGGTTATGATACACGCGCCGGCGGCTTCTTTTGAAATCTAAAACAATCGTTGCCGCCACGCCGAAATCATAACATTTGACACTATTTGATTGCCGCCATAGGGTGTAGGTATACTCATGCAAAATAATTTCGAATTTTTTTACACGCTTTATATTATTGTTTGATTTGCGGCGGCATCCTTATCATAGAGCCGGCACGTGGCGAGGCGGCGCGGTAGAAAGCAAGGATCATAAATGTTTATTAAGAAACAGTTACTTCCATGGAAAACGACATATAGGTCAGTTGATTTTTCGAATTTCTTATCAAATCTTCAGTTATTTATTAATCTGCTTGATCTTTACTATGGCTATATTCATTCAAGCTCACAATGTTCCAATTCTAATACGTTTTTCTAGGATTTAAAGTAAACTTTAATAAATAGTAATAGACTAATAGGTAATTGCAAGACTTGCAAGACTCTTGCTGCAAGACCAAGACCAAGACCAAGACTGGGAGCGCAAGACCAAGACCAAGACCAAGACCAGGTGTATTGGCGCAAGACCAAGACCAAGACTGGCTAAGTCTCGTCTTGTTCTTGCGTTTGGGCAACACTATTTACAATTGGTAGTTCTAAAGCAAGCCGTGCGATGTTATTGAAGTAATTAATAGTAATTTCTACGTTAATTACCGTACTCTTACAATAATAAACAGCCACTACCGATAAATTGGTTGGTAACCCTTAATATTAGTTAAAAAAAATCATACTGAAACTAAACAACTCATCGAACTTTCAAAATATTTACGTTTCGTAAAAAGCTGAAACCTGAATTTTACCCTCACCGATTAATAAAATTCATCAATTGCTGCCCTGCAGTAAACTGAAACCCTTGCCTGCAATTCCATTTGTGCAATTTTGGAATTTCATCCCAGAATTTTCAATCGACTGACAATAATACATCATCGTAAATAATCGAAACAAAACATTACCCAAAATTTCATAAATGCGTTTGAAAATCCCAAGCAAAAACCTTTCCATACCCAAAATATCATCTCCGATTAAATACTACACTTAAATTAAAATTAACAAATACGTGATACTTTGGATTGCATTGTTCTGTTCTGTTCTACTAAATCTTACAGTTAGTATGAATTACAGATGTTCCTTAAATCTAGGCTTAATAGTTCTACGGTTGTGGCTTACATATTGTTTATCGCAGTTTTTATATATTTTTTTTATCTTTAGGATTGTCTGTAAGCTATTTGATGTATGAACCGCTGTTAAGTAAGGTGAACAAAATTGGATAGAAAGAGGTTTTAGAGTATACATTTTTATTTTTTTTGAATTTCGAGTTTTAAAATACATACTCTGAATGTAGTTTTTCTAATTTAATATTCTATAGATATTATCAACTATTTTTAAGTGGAATTCATTGTATTGAACAATTATTCTAATGTATTTTAATTCATAATGGTAGCCTTATCTATTCATTAGGTAATTTATAATTGTAAAGGTCGATTCGTTTGTAAATAATTTTTTTTATTATAATAATTCGTACTTTTCTATTTGTTTTCATCAGTTAAATAAAAAGTAATGTCATACATAAATCAAACATGTTTTTGTCGTTCGTGTTTTGTCATTACATATTCTTGCCTTTCGCTGTGATTTTGCTCCAGCATTTTTTCCATTTTTCACAATTTGTCAGATTTCACCGTTTTGGTAAGGAAAAAAAATACATTTGTGTTTCCTTTTTTTTCAGGAAAACTGTCAAAACTACATAAGAATAATGGCGAAAACGAATACAGGAAGATTGTTAATTTGTGGCACGAACTCGTTCAAACCTGTTTGTAGGGAATACAATATTGCCAACGGAAATTATACGATTGAAAAGGAGAAGCAGGGACAGGCAGTTTGTCCCTATGACCCTCAACACAATTCCACAGCCATTTATGTTGGTAAGTGAAAGAACTTTTTATATCCTTTGCGCGATTTATACGCATTCTTTAATCTTCAAACTATTTTTTTCTTTTTTCTATTCTGTGCAAAAATTTGTTAACTCCCAATATTATATATTATAGGTATCATTATCAAAAAGTTTTTGAAAATCGCTGACCAATTTCAGGAAATCTAATGATATTTAAAAAATTTTATTGTCATATAAATTAAGAAATGACAATACGTTTTTTGTCTTCAATTTAGTATTAATTTCATTTATCACTATAAAAGGAATAAGTTTTATGTCAGTACAAAACGTCGCTAAATGGGTATCGATCTGACAACATTAAACAAAAATGTTTTTTCAAGATCATAGATGCGCGCCTCCGATGACGTTGTCAAAAATGCAAATAATAAATATACACCTCATCATCATAAGGTGGTCGTCAGTCCTAAGACTGACTGGACACACACCTCCACTCCTTCCTATTTCTGAGCTAATATTCGCATTTCCCTAAAACTGGAACATCCCACATCCGTAACTGTTTGCGAACAGTAATCTAATCTTGGTCTACCTCTACTCCTCTTAACTCTTGTTCCTGCCTCTAATATGTCTCTGACTACTAACCTATCTCGCCTATTTTTGTATTGACTTCCATAGAATCCTCTGCTCTCCTATTCTTTCTAATTCTTCATTTGTAACCTTCTTTATCCACAGTATCCTCATCATTCGCCGGTAATACCACATTTCGAATACTTCTAACATTTTCTTTTCCGCCGCGCCAACCGTCCATGTTTCTAAATTAATCGTTCGCGAGCATAGAAATGACTTCTTTTTATTGAAGGCGACTCGACCCTGCGCTATCCTTTGCTTATATCCCTATTACTCCGACTTATCTGACTTCCTAAAAACCTAAAATCAGCCACTTCTTTTAATCTTTCGTCTTCTATTTTTACTTTCACTCTTTCCCTACTTTTTTATCCCCTGCATACCAGTATTTCTGTTTTGCTTAAATATATGCCTATGTTTTGTAAATAAAATGTGATAGATCAAAATTGCGCATTTTATGCAATTCAAAAAAAAATCATAACGACGTATTTCTCAGGTAGAGAAAAAACCGAGGTGACAGTTAAACAGTGATTTATCACAACACATGTTTTGCAATCCCTATAATTTAGGCTATTGAATAGGGGTTTTATTAAGGAACAATTACATCCATGGGTTGTTATTGTTAAATATGTTAGGTCGCGTTTTTGAGATCCAATCGAAAAATCTCATTTTTTAGGTTTTTTTTGCGATAACTCCAAACTTGTGCACATTAAGAGTATTTTACAATTATACTTTTCTATAGGAAATTAAATTTCCCCCATCGAAATACTTTGTTGACAAATTACTAAAAAGAAAAATGTGATTTTGATCAAATTTTCATCATTTTATTGTAAGTATTTTTGATACTAAAAATAGCAAAAGAATTTTTCAACAAAGTATTCTGATTGGAAAGTTAACTTCTTACAAAAAAGTTGCTGAAAAAAGTGGATAATTTTCGAGTTAGCGCTCAAGAACGCACCCTCATATTTAGTAGTAGTACTTTATGATTTTATCATTTTTAGTTGTTAAACTAAAAAAAATCCATGGACTTGGACATAACAAATATTATATTAGACATTAATTATAAGTAAAATCGTCGTAAGTGTGGCTTATCTTTATTTTAAAAAAATATCAATTATCATTGTGTTTTTGATAAATTTACCTAAAAGAGTTTGACCCTAATAAGGTATTACTTTGTTATGTAATTGTTGTACAAAATCAGTAAAGATTGTAAGGTTCTACTGAAGTTAACTTCTATTTCTTCTTTTCCTGGTATTATCATTGCCTACAAATGCAATTCCAAGCTATTCGAAAATTGCGGTTATACGAATCGTATTTTCGGATTGTGCTGTTTGAAACGGGGTCATCTGTTGATACGGCCACAACCAAGAAGACGTACACAAACGGGAGCAAATTGGATTAATTTACTTACACCGCCAATCCCACTCGTCGCACCCTTATCCATACGACACAACATCAAAGGACCGTGTATGCCAGTCGGGAAATTTCAAGTCTTTATAGTAGCGCCCCAAAAGGGCACAAGGCCGTAACACGACGCGCGAGATAACGAGAGGAAATTTAATGAAGACAGTGTTGTCACTTTGAAAGATTTCTCTTAAATTAGATCAATTTTAAATTTCGAACGACGTTCGTTTGTTATTCACTTTCAATAAATATTTTCGAAAAGACTGTAAAATAGAGATGCACCCGATAATGGTTTTGCCGGGTATTGGATAACTGGTACCCGACCGAATCCTAAAACAAATGCCGGAGCCTCCGGGTACCAAATCCAAACCGAGTACCAGATCCAAACCGGGTACCTAGCCCATTTCTACTATAAAGGTTATCGGCACTAAGGATGGCGATTCTTCTCGAAAAAATCAATTTTTAAATCGATTCGAATCGCAATCTGATGAGTCGATTCACAAAAAGATCGAAGTCTAAAAAATCGATTTCTCAAAAATCAGTTGTTTTTTCGAGTTTATTTAATTTACAAAATAAATATAGATCCATTTTATGGAAAATAAGAAAGGCACCATAATCACTGATCTCTTATCATTAAAATCAGGGAATTCTTTAGTTCAGGAAATTCAGTAATATAAACAATTTCAACAAATACAACAAGTTAGACATTACAAACGTAACTTTTTTGTTATGTTTTTTATTTATTAAAGAGAGGCAAGGAAAAACTGTTTTTTCCATACATGTTTTTCAATACCATGGAGAAGGGGACTTGGTATTAAATCGTCGGAAGGAATTATAGGGGCATGTAAGGTTAGCTCTCGTTTGAGTTCGGGTTACTCTACATATTGTCCATGTCGAGTACATTCAACTAACTGTAAATATTTTATGATTTTTATGAAAACAGAAAAATTCGAATGTCGATTTCTAAGGAAAATTATCGATTCACTGAATCAATTCAGTGCTACATATCGATTTAAAAAATCGATTTTTTTTACTAAAAATCGAATCTTCGATTAATCGATCTCAGATCGTCATCCCTAATCGATATCTAGCTATGCGAGACTCACTCAATGACTTTACTCAAAACATCCTTGTACTTGTAGTCATGTGGAGACAATGTCAGGATGAGTTTTTTCGGTGTTTTTAATATTTTTTCACATACAGGGTATTCCACCTATTTTTATACATTTAAATAAAAGTGTTTTTATAAAAGTGGCCTGGAATCATGTGGTGCATATACTTAAAATAAGTTCAATCATACTGGATATTCCATTTCTTCTGGATGCTACCTAACCATTATTTTAAATTAAATATCCGGTATATTTTTGATTTCTTTATTCAATTTTAGATCGACTAGTCGACTATATTAAGAGTTCCCTATACTTATCTCTAATAGTTTTTGAGACATTCAGCTGTTTTTGAAAAAAAAAACATTTCATTTTTCATATAAATAATAAAAGTCCAATAAATGCAATTTAAAGCTTTTGGGAAGTGTTACGCTTTGTTTTAAAGATTTTCAAAGTGTCAGTCAGTTTGCGACATTATTAAGAGAAGCAGGTTATATATTCAGATAGACGTACTTAAAAAAATATATTCCACACGAACACCAAATTATGTATTTTCCCTCAAGCGACATGAAAACAAAATCTGCCGACAAAGTATAAGTAATTTCTATGTTCGGGAACATTTTGCCTTATTCGTATAGCGAATGCAATAGTTTTTTAATATTTGGTGTACATGTAAGGCAACATATTTACCGAAAGTAGAAACGCATTTCTTTTTTATGTCACACGAACAAAAATGCATTATTTTGTGAGCAGTAGAATGTATTTTTTTTTAATCACGTCTATCTGAAAATACCACATGCTTTTCTGAAAACTGTCGTAAACTAGCGGAACTTTCAAAATCATTTGTACACGTAAGACGCTTCAAAACTTTAAAGTGTATTAATTGGACTATGTTACTTCATTAAGTATACGAAAAGATGACTGAAGGTATTTGTACGAATTTGCAATACACCGTCCCTATATTCGATTCTACTACAATAATACCTGAAATAATTGTTAATTTCGAAGTTGCTACATTTACTGTAATAGTCATATTGCTTTTTGTTGTTATTGTTTACCAATAGTTGCAGTACTGTACTACTCAGAAATTACGGGTGGATTTTTCGAAATTGAAAATTTCTTAAAATACTTATGTTAACAACTACAAGGCAGACTAAAAATTTTTCGGGACAGACTCGCTGTTGGCCACGACTCTAAAGTGAATCATCAACGTAATTTTAAAAATCCACTCGAATTTTACATGAAAACTGCTGTGATATTCTCATTCTTCTGATTCATCATCATATCGTCAGTCCTAAAACTGGTTGAACACGCACTGACTTTTGAAGTGAAACTTCTTTACGCACGGTAGGGTAAGTTCGTTTCGTGCGACTTGCTATGTAACGAAATCATGCAACCGATGTCCCCCCTCTACTGGGCCACGTAGTCGAGTTCGCGGTGGGGATCGCTTGAGCCGTGAGCGCGCTTCAATGCAACGTTCGTTACAGGCAACTCCGGCATGTATAGTGTAAAGTTTATATTCATGGTGTACAAATAATACCATTAAACCAATTCCTTAGCCCCTATCCCGGTATGTTTGTGTGTTTGAAGAAGTTTTACTTCAATAGCGTGTTGTATAATTACACGTTGTATTTTTTTTGCACCCGTACAGCGCCGAGGTCCAAACATACACCTTTAACGATCTTTTTCAAATTTCTAAATTAGCCGTTCGCGAGCATAGAAAGGCGACTCAACCCTTCTTCTGATTATTTTCGAGAAATTTCCAATATTGGAATAAAAGCCATCTTTACTACGAATTTGGTTTATATAAACTTCGACTCAATTTTGTTTACCTGTGATTTAGGTAAGGAAAACCTTTGAAATAAAATTCGATTTGCTTTTAAATTCAAAAGTATATACC